ACAAACCCCTAAAACACAGGTTATCACTGAAATGGAATCACCCCATTCTCCCTAATTAAAATCAATACCCAGGATCTGAAGGACCGATTTACTAACTCTTTCTATCTGACCTGAAATCAATCAAGTTTGGGCAACAGGAAAATGAGGACCAATCTTCCACTCAATAGAGGCAGGTGGCATCCCATATCAGATACATAGCCAACTAGATAAACCCACATGCTCATTCTCACCACAAAAATACAAAATATATGAAAGGCTAAGGAAGTTAAGACACTGTGTCCTCTCCAAAGACCACTAGTCCTAGGAAAATGCTGTCCAATAGGAATTGCCTAGATGAAGCACAGGACACAGAATTTAAATGAACAACTGTAGACACAGTCAAAGAATTGGAGGGGTCCAAAAAGTATCAAGTACTATAATGAACTTAAAGAAGGTAGGAATAAATCCACGACTGAATGATAGAAAACACAAAAATATGGCTGAATGAAATAAGGAAGACAATTCAGGATTGAAAAGAGAATTCAATAGAGACAGAAATACTGAAGAAAATTGGAAATAAAGATAAACTAAAAATTCAATAACCCAATTAGAAGGGGGAAGCCTTATCAGCAGAATGGATCAAATAGAAGATGGTTTATTGGGACAAGAACATAAAGTAAAGAAACACAGTTAAAATGACCTAGATGCCCTTCAACTGAAGAATGGATAAATAAATTGTGGCACATATACACAATGGAATACTACTCAGCAGAGAAAAACAATGACATCATGAGGTTTGCAGGCAAATGGATGGATCTAGAAAAAATCATCCTGAGTGAGGTAACCCAGACTCAGAAAGACAAATATGTTATGTACTCACTCATAGGAGGATACTAGATGTGGAACAAGGATGACTGGACTGCTAGGCACATCACCAGGGAGGCTACCTGGAAAACAGGACACCAAGAAAGACACGCGGATCACCCAATGACGGAGAAATGGCTGAGATCTACATGAACAACCTGGACATGAGTGGGAGTAATGAAGGGCGAGGGTTGAGGGAAAGAGAGCCTGTGAGAGTGGGAGATCCCAGCTGGATCAAGAACAGAGAGGGAGAACAAGGAATAGGAGACCATGGTAAGTGAAGACCACATGAGAAAAGGAAGAAACAAAGTGCTAGAAAGGCCCACAGAAATCCACAAAGATACCCCCACAATAGACTGCTGGCAATGGTCGAGAGACAGCCGGAACTGACCTACTCTGGTGATGGGATGGCCAAACACCCTAATAGTCGTGCCAGAAACCCCATCCAAGGACTGAGGGATCTGGATGCAGAGATCCACAACTAGGCCCGGGGTGGAGCTCCAAGAGTCTAATTAGTGAGAAAGAGGAGGGTTTATATGAGCGAGAATTGTTGAAATCAAGGTTGAATAAAGCACAGGGACAAATAGCCAAATGAATGGAAACACATGAACTATGAACCAAAGGCTGAGGGACCCCAAATGGATCAGACCCTCTGAATAGGTGAGACAGTTGATTGGCTTGATCTGTTTGGGAGGCATCTAGGCAGTGGTACCGAGTCCTGTGCTCATTGCATGAGTTGGCTGTTTGAAAACTGGGGCTTATGCAGGGTCACTTGGCTCAGTCTGGGAGGAGGGGACTGGACCTGCCTCGACTGAGTCTACCAGGTTGATCTCAGTCCTCAGGGGAGGCTTTGCCCTGGAGGAGGTGGAAATGGGAGGTTGGCTGGGGAGAAGGGGAGGGGGTGGGAGGGGGGAGAACAAGGGAATCCGTGGCTGATATGTAGAACTGAATGGTATTCTAAAATAAAATAATAGGAAAAAAATTTAAAACACAGGACATGATTGTGCAGGAATTTTGAAAAAGTTATAGACCTAACAGCATAGATCAACAGCATAGACCATATCTTTAACAGAATCATAGAAAAAAATTTTCTCCAAACTAAGGAACAACAAACCCAAACAGGTACAGGTACAAGAAGTACCCAGAGCACCAAATAGATAGCACCAGAAAAGAAATTGCCCATGGCACAATATAGTTAAAACCCTCAATACACATAGCAAAGACAGGGTATTAAAAACTGCAAGAGAAAAGCCACAAGTCACACACCAAACTCATCATAATAACAGCTAGCTTCTCAATGGAAACTTTAAAACCCAGAAGAAATTGGAGCAATGAACTATGAACTCTGAAATGGATGCCAACCTAGACTATTGTACCCAGACTAACTGCCACTATTGAAAGAGAAAGAAAAATGTTCCGTGATATAGATAGGCTAAAAAAATTTATATCCCCCAAACCAGCCCTCCAAAAAATACTAGAAGTAATATTTAGGATGGAAAAGAGAAGTAAGCGTAGCCAAGAGACCACAGAAAGAAAACAAATGAAATTCTAATTGCTTCAATAAAAAATACTACTAAGCACACAAACAGTAAATAAGCAAAACATGACAGCAAGCAACACACACCGCACAACAATCAATTCAAATATTAATGGCCTCAACTCTCCAGTCAAAAGACTGAGTTTAATTGACTGGATTAAGAAGCACGATCTACTAATTTTCTTGTCTATAAGTAATATATCTTACCCTTCAGGATAGACACCAGAGTGAATGGATGGACAAATCTATTCCAAGCAAATGGGACCAGGATAACTAACAGGTGTAAGTGTCCTAATATCTAACAAAATAGACTTGAAATCAAGATAAATCATAAGACATAAAGAAAGACACTTCATTCTGATCAAGAGAACAATTAGCCAAGAACACATTGCAATCCTAAACATACACATACCAAACTGGCACATTCAGTTTCATAAAAAGCATACTCATGGATATTGAGCCACAGATAAACACCAACTCAGTAACAGTGGGTGTTCTAGTCCATTTTCTGTTGCTTTTCTACACACCAAGGCAAAATCTACTTGGAAGAGGAAAGGGTTTACCTGAGTTATTAGCTACAGTCCATCATGGAGGAGGCCAGAGCAGAAGCTTAAAGCAGGAACCTGATGGCAGGAACTTTTGAATGAAATAAGGAAGACAATTTAAACAATTTAAACATTAAAAAGGCAGAGGCTTTTGAAGAATGATGCTTCCTGGCTTGCTCTGCCTGGCTTGCTCACCTTGGCATTTTTCACAACCGAGAACTACCTGCCCAGGGGTGGCATCACTCACAGTGAATTGAGCCATCCTACATTGATCATTAATCAAGAAACGTCCCTCACAGACTTGCTCATGGGCAAATCTTATAGAGGCAATCCCTCATTACTCATTTTTTTTCGCTGATTTCAAGGTGACTCTATTTGTGTTAAACTGACTAAAATTAACCAGCACAGAATGTAAAGTAATGAATTTGATCATGGCCTCTTCATATATATGTCTTTATACTTTTTCCTCATTTTCCCCTCCCCCACAAGAAGATGAATTCTTTTGAGGGCAGCATGAAAGTATTACTTATTTTTTGACTCAGGTGCCCAGCATTGAGTACACACACACACACACACACACACACACACACACACACACACGCACGCACGCACGCACGCACAGATAGAAAGGGACTTGAACAAGAGTGTCCAGCATACCTTTATTATTACTACTCATACCCCCCAAATTTAACATCATATTAATGCCTATTAGAGAAACTATGATCATATAAACAATTGGGCCATCACACAATAGAATCATATGTTATTCAGGAAAACTCTGAGACAGACTTCTGTGTACTGTTTTTTAAAGCGAAGAAAAGTAAGGTGTTGGGCACATAGGTACAGTATGATTTTTCTATAAATATTTTCAAAAACACATTTTTCAATATATTTTTCATTATATGGCAAATATTTAAAAGTACATAATAGAATTTTATGCAGCCTACAAAAATATATTCCTAAATACACACACATGTGTTTGAATATGTTTGAAATATTCTAAGCTTTGAACAGTGAACATTGCTTTAAAACAGGACGTGAAGAGCCTAAATGTGACCAAACCAAGGCATTGGTGTATCTAACCTACATGAAGGAGTCCATCCACTAGAACACAGGATCTTAACTCCTCGTCATTCATAAAATGACTGTTGAAAGCCGTTATAATCTCCACCATTCCCGTGATAACTTTATTCTTTAATCTAATTAGAATTATTTGGAGGCTACCCAATACGTTCAAAGAGGTGTTTTGTGAAACCAAGAGTAAAATCATTTACGACTTGGCAATTTTGATTGGAGCAGGCCAGGCTGGGGGGGAATGAATATTGAAGGGCAATCATGTGGAACAAATAAGGTTTGGTAAAGATGAACTTTTTCCATTGACTGCATTCAATGTTGATCTCATTATATTTTTGAGACCTTTACATGTTACTTACTGTGAGTGTCTTAATGTTGTATTTTCTTATTTGGTTTTAGTAGTGTCAATGGAATCTATCAGTTTATTCACGGAAATCTTTCCTCACTCTGATTTTCTCTGTAATTGTGATACAGCTGCATTATGTATGTGTGAACCATGAAATAAGAAGGCAAGGCCTTACCACTGCTCAGAATAAAGTATTTTTAGCAAAATGATCCTTTGCCCTTATGTTAACTCTCAACGCTCCATAAAAATGGGGAGATCAGAATAAAATTTTTCTTCAGAATTGTGGGGGTTTATGGGGCTGTATTGGTTGTTTCATTTCTTAATTAAGTTGCCACTTCCCTTACTCTCTCTGGATTCATACTCCCCATCCAGTAGGAAAGTTCATTTTTAGTTTTTCCTCCTTGCTTCCACAAGTCATCTTCAGGAGAGAATGGAGGGGAAACCTACCCACATGAATATGCGGGGTGCTCAACACAGTGCTGGCTATGATTAGTGCAGGGTTCCCAGGTTGAAGCAGCCCCAGGTCAGTAGTGAATATATCCAACCATGGTGGCTACAGGGAGCTTGGTGAGCATCACCTCATTCCACTTATGAAATTAAATTAATCTTCCTCATTCTTTTAAAAGATTTTATTTTATGTCTATGAGTGTTTTGTCCGCATAAGCATCTGGGCACCATGTGTGTGCAGTGCCAGAAGAAGTCATAAGGAGGGCATTGGCTCTTCTTGGACTGGAGTTACAGATCCCATTGTGAGCCAGCTTGTGGGTGCTGGGAATCAAATGTGGGTCTTCTGACAGAGTAGCCAGTGCTCTGAACAACCGAGCCTCTTCTCTGGGCCCCATCTTCCTTCTTTCGTTCTCTCCTTCCTTCTTCTTTCTCATTTAATCTCGAATAAAGCAGAGAGAAAAGAGGACATCACATTTTGGAGTTTTTGTCTTTGCCCCACCACTTCTTGGTTGTGAAAGAAAGGCATATGTTCCATCATGTTGAGCTTTTATAGACAATTTTGAATTTTGTTGCCAATATGCCCCTTCACAGAGTTTCTGTGGGTGCCACTGGGATGGTACATACGGAACATCTTGTCTGTGGTACAACGGGTATGTCATAAAGGTTAATTCTTGTTCTAAAGATAATTACTTAGATAAGATGCATCTTATTCCCAAATGTGAAATTACAAAACAAAAATTCACTTGTCATCTGTAATTTTTAAACATTAGCAAGTATGTAGAGAGAGTCCCATAAGAAAGAGCCACAGACATACACTAGTTGAATCAAGATGAATATTTTCACTGTCTAAAAATAGTAAGTACTGATACTTATGGAGGAATTTAGTTACCTGTGCAAGACCTGAAGGATCAGCAAAGATAAGTTGGGACTTCTGGTACAAGTAGTATGGAGTCAAAACATTGCAGCATATTTCTCCAAGACACTACAACTGATAGAAAGCAGGTGGTGTGAAGGAGGAGAGTAGATAGAGTGGGGGAGGGGACAGCTAAGTTGTGTGGGTAACTGAAGGGCAGAGTAGAAGAGTATTTGGAGGGATAATAAAACTAAAAATATCTGAAAATGAAGTATAAAAACCTACTGCTACAGAAACTTCCTAACACACACAGACACAGATACATGCACATACATATACAAAAACAGTTCAAATGGAATTCCCCTATAACAGGGAGTGAGGGACAATGCATCTCTCAGACATTATAGGCTATTAAATACAACACCCAGGGCCAGGCCCAGGGTAACAATTTTCATGAGTGAGTTCCCATGGAGCACCCAAAACATTACAGGATATTGCCATTCTGCTTGGTTACCGATGGTTAGACCTGATGGCTAAAAATCCAAATACTTGAGTTAATGGGCATGTAGAAATCAAGCTGCTGCTGATCTAGAAGCTTCATCCCTACTGGCCAGCTTTTACAGTGCTGTGCGTATTACCATGGTAAAAAGTATTCAGCAGTCTTTCCAAACGGTGAGTCCTCTGTGCTACAAGGACCAGCCTAGCAAGACAAGCCCGCTGGTGTAAGAATGGCATAAACATAATGAGAATAAGCAACCACTTTATGATTGGATTTAAGGGACACTCCACAAGACAAAACTCATACCTGGCAATGATAATTGGACCAAGAATTCAAAGCTGGCTAGGTCATAGGCCCTAGAGTATCCTGCTAAATGGACACATATTTTAAAGCCCCATAAGTGCATATCTTTATACCCACAGATTATTGTATCTTTCAGTACAATCAGAGTATCTTCTTTTGGTTTTTTTTTAACTGTAGATGGCAATTAATATAAAAACCACAACTGGTAAATGTGCAGAGAGTATAGAGTAATCAACCCTGAATGGGACATCTATATCTAATCCCTTCTTCCCAGTACTTAGAGATCATTGTGGGAAGAGGTACCCAAAACAGTCTTTTCCTGCACATCACTAGGCTGTGGCACACATGAACTTACTGTGTCTGTGGCTGAATGCACAAGGCTTGCACAAGATCGAGCTAGATAAAATTACATCATGGGCGAAGGAAAAAGCCACAAAAAATGATATAGTTTAGCAACTGTTGGAAGTTGATGGCTGCTGAGCAGAAGAGACATTTTTTTCTTCAGGGATGTGGCCCCTGAAAGACGACCCACGCTCCAGCAGATGGTCCTACACTCATACACACATTAGCAACACTAACTGGTCTCAATGGGTTTAAAATGAAAGAATAGATGAAGTTGAGTGGGGAGAGTGGTGGAGAGGATAAGGAAGAAGCTAAAAGGGAAGAAATTAAGAGGTGAATTTGGTCAAAACACATTGTATCCGTGCACGAGATTCTTACATAACAAAGGAACAATTATCTGAGTACTGGCGGTAATACTACATGGCTTGGAGCACCAAGAGAAAAAGATCTAAAGATTAGATATTTACATGAGTGATTTCTGTGGAGGATTTTTTTTCTTTCATCTCTTAACTTGTATCCAAAGATGTTCCCATCATGGGAATCTCAAAGCTCATGTGCAGAAAAAAAACCTCAGAGAGAAATCTTATTTCACCCTGATAAACAGGGAAACTGGTGTCTGGGGGGAAATGTATATAGGAGGCATGCTTGTTTGTTTCGGGGTTTTGTCTTTTCAACTTTTTCTGAGAAAAATAATTCACACACTATATTCTGATCATGCCCCTGCCCCAGTTCATCCCAGATAATTCCTACCTCCTTACTCATATAATTTTCTCACACATAGACAAAAGCAAAAACAAAAAAAAAAAAAGAAACGTACAAAGAAAAACACCATAAAACAAAAATCAAAATAAGCAAGCAAAAGACCAATAAGATAAAAAAATTATCAAATACAGCAAAATGAGACAAAATCTACAAAAATATCATTGAGTTTATTTTGTTAGACAGCTACTCTTGGGCATGGGGCCTGCCCTAAGGTGCAATAAACATACCCAGTGAGATTCCATTGGAGAAAACTGATTTTTCTTTTGTCAGCAGGTATCAATTATAGATTGCTTCTTAATTAGGGATGGGAGCTTATGTCTACACCCCCCTCTCAGGGAAGGGACCATGTCTGGCTCGAACCTGTGTAGGCCCTGTGCATGCTGCCATGGCCTCTGTGCATTCATGTGTGCATAAGCCTTGTGTCAGGAAGACATTATTTCCTTGTGTTTATCCATTGCCACTGGCCCTTAAAATCCTTTTACTTCCTCTTCCACATAGTTCCTTGAACTCTGAGGGGAAGACTTTGATGAAGACATTCCATTTAGGACTAGTACTCCAAAGTCTCACTCTCTTCACATTGTCCGGTTTCAAGTCTCTGTCAGTTCCTATCGACTTAAAAAAAAAAGCATCTCTGATGAGAGTTGAGTGAATCACTGGCCTGCAGAATAGCAGAATGTCATTCGGTGTCATTTCATTGCTGTGCTCCTTTAGCAGAACTGGGTTTCCCCCTAGGCTCATGACCTACGTGATCTCAGGTTCTTCGTCATTTTAGTAGTGTCCGGGATGGATCCATTTCATGAAGTGGTCCTTGAATCCAATTAGAAAGTGATTGGTTACTCCCATATCATATGTGCCACTATTCCGTCAGTATCTCTTGCAGCCGGGTCTCTGTTATAAGCTGCAAGGTTTCTAGCTGGGAGATGGTGACAAGTGCCTTTCTCCTCCAGAAGCCTGCAGCATACCTTCCAGTGTCAGGAACACTGGTCAGTAGAGGTGAAGCTTTAACATGAGACTTGGAGATGCAGAATCTGGAGTTTGCCCTGATGGCTTTCAGTCTTGCTTTGGTCTAGTATTTGTTCAATGTGCCTCTTTTCCTCCCCTCTGGAATGGTAATGTATATTCTGTGCCATTATATGTTGGAAGTATGTCATTTTCTTTTTGTTTTTGCTTTCACCTGAAATTACACTTAGGAGATTTCCTTGAGTCTCATAAGAGACTTGGACTTTGGATTTTGAAGCAGGCCTGAGACTATGAAAGACTACGAGGACTTTTGAATTGAGACTAAATGCCTTTTGCATTATTATATGGCTACAAGACTACAGAGGCCAGAGGGTGGAATGTGGTGGTGAGATAACTCTAAGTAAGCCCCTAATTCAATGACAGGTTTGTAAAAATCATCTTGGTCATTATGTCTCTTCACAGAAATGCAACAACAGTAACTAAGACAGAAATGAGATCAGCTTGGCCTGTGGGCATCCCTGGGAAGAAGAGTTTTTATTAATTGGGTTAATTGAGATAGGAAGATTCACCTTGAATGTGAGCAACACCGTTTTATGAGCTGGGCCATGAACTGTGTACAAGTAGAGGAAGTTACCTGAACACCAAGCACAGATGCAGTCATCTCTCTCCGCTCTTAATGGTCAGGATGATGTGACTAGCTGTTCGAGTTCCTGCTGACTTGAGGGTCCCACAATACAACATTGTAATTTGAAATTGTGAACTCAAATATACCCTTTCTCCATTGCGTTACTTTGTGTCTGGGTATTTTACCACAACGACAGAACTGAAACCAAAACAGACACAGAAACATTCAGAGGGAAAAAAATGAAGAAGGGGAACTCCAAATGCTGTGTGTGACCTGTATCTGACCCAGCGAAAATCCCAGACTCACTCTGAGCTGTTGTGTGGACAGACTCACAGGAGGAATTCAGAAGAGTTGAGAGCTGAGTTGACGTGGTCCCCTGACTACACAAGGTGAAACAGAATCTACAGTCTGAATATTTCTGCACTCTGTGTGTGTGAAAGCGAAAGCACTGACATTCTCTGGGAGATTTAAGAGGATCCTGAGTATCATAGTATTCAATATCACAGGAAAAAGCAATTATAAATCTACCTTCAAATATCTCTGATACAGAAATTATTTGAAACTATCAAAGGGTAATAACATTCTAGTATTAAACACCAAAAAGAGGAAGGAAGATTATAAAGCATTAAAAATAATTAAATGTATAATTGCAGAAGATAAAAATAAGACATAAACATCCATCACTAAGAATAAAAGTAGCCAGGCGGTGGTAGTGCACACCTTTAATCCCAGCACTTGGGAGGCAGAGGCAGGTGAATCTCTGTGAGTTCGAGGCCAGCCTGGTCTACATAGTAAGTTTCAGGACAGCCAGGGCTGCTACACAGAGAAACCCTGTCTTGAAAAACAATAAAATAATAATAATAATAATTCTTTATTAACTCCTTGGGAATTTCATAACATGCATCCTAATCCTGCTCACCTCCCAATCCGTCCATATCTGCCCCTCAACCCTGAAGTGTCCATCCACAAAAGAAAGCCCCCCCCCCAAATTAATTAAAAACAAAAAACTAACCTCATACCTCCGTCTTTCCCTCCCCTTAACCACCTCTTCATTTGTCCTGGTGGCATTGGGAGCTGCAGTGTATTACACAGTATACCCTTTTGTTCAATCAGCCCCGCCCGCAAATGTTCATTGCAGTGAGTCATTGGTCAAAGTCTGTGGCCTCTGATATAACATCAGTACTGGACCCTCAGGGAAACTCCTCTTAGCTATCCTGCTGTTCCCTGAGTAAGGGAGACCCTGCAGCTATTGTTCAGCAGGGACAGTCCCTTCAGGAGCTCCAGTAGGTCATAGATGGGTTAGGTGTTAGTGGGCCAACTCAAGACCAAGGTTGTGGGTCTGGGTGGTAGCTGAGCTGGTCAGTCTGATCCATTGGGACTGCCCACCTCAGGCGAGGACAGAGCCAGTTCTCCAATGCCCATGCCAACTTTCACATGCCCGTGATGAGGGGTGGGGTCATCTCTCCCTAGTGCAAGGGCAGGTCACAGCAATAACACATGAGGAAGAAAGAAAGGGATAAAACTTGGAAAAGAATGAGTCAAAGCTCTGTTTTCAGGTGATAGGAACCTGCCTTTAACAGACCTCAGATGACAAGCAGGAAACACTTAGATCTGATAAATGTTTTCAGAAATGTTTTCAGAGGAGAAAAAAATCTGCATACAAAAAAACCCAGTACTTCCTGTGTCTCAATAATGAACATGCCGAGAGAGAGAAATCAGGTAAACACCCACGGTAGCTTTCAAAAGACAATAAAATACAGAGGGCAAAAGCAACCAAGGAAGACAGAGACCTCAGGAAAAGATTAAATTATTCAAGAAAAAATCTGAAAAGGACACAAGAAGATGAAAAGACTTTTAACACAAAACCGATCAAAGATCTTAATATAAACCTGAAACTTGGATGCTACTAGAAGAAACTGTATGGGAAACTCTTCAAGACACAGAGATAAGCAACATCTTTCTGAATAGAATTCTGACAAATCAATGACAGTGAGAATCACATGCTGTTAAAAAGCTTCTGCACAAGGCACAATCACTCAAGCAAATAGACAGCCTATACAGTGGCCTTGGCTAGTTATTCTGCTGGCCAGGGATTAATATCCAGAATATATAAAGTACTGAAACAGCAGAGCACAAAAAATATAACCCGGTCAATAAAAGGACAAATGACTAGGATAGACACTTCTCAAAAGAAATATCAGTGACACACATATGCACTCACATGAGCACATGCACACAAGTGCAAAAACATCTTATGTTCCCAATTTAAAAGTATTTATTACACTGAGCTTGATGTAAAGTCTGTGAGGTTTTATAGATGTGTGTGTGTGTGTGTGTGTGTGTGTGTGTGTGTGTGTGTACATTACCCTGAACTTGATATAAAGTTATGCACACACATACACACATATAACTTAGGGTTTGTATTACTGTGAAGAGACACCACGACCATGACATTTCTTAAAAAGGTAAATATTTAACTAGAATGGCTTACAGTTCAGAGGTTTAGTCCATTATCATCATGGTGGGGCATGGCAGCATGCAGGCAGACCTGGTGCTGGAGATGTGGCTGAGAGTCCTACATCTTGCAGGTAACAGGAAGTGGTCTGACACTGGGAGTAGCTTGAGCATAAGAAACTTCAAATCCCACCCCTATAGTGACACATTTCCTCCAACAAGGCCACACCTACTCTAACAAGGCCAAACCTACTCCAACAAGGCCACACCTCTTCTTTCCAACCACCACATTCCACTCCCTGGTCCCCAAAGGCTTATAGCCACATTATAATGCAAAAATGCATTCAGTCCAACTTCAGAATTCCCCATAGTCCATAACAGTCTCAAACTTATTTAAAAATCTAAAGTCCAAAGTCTTTTCTGAGATTCATGCAATCTTTTAACTGTAATCACCTGCAAAACACACACACACACACACACACACACACACACACACACACACATTTATTTGTGTGTGAGTGTGTGTATGCCAAGGCACATATGTGGAATTCAGAGGACAATTTGTAGGACTAGTTCTCTCCTCTATCCTGTAGGTCCTATAGATCAAACTCAGATTGCCCCACTTTGTGGCAAGTGCTTTCATCTGCTGAGTCATCTCACCAGCCCAAGAAATGTATTTGTTAAGCTACTGTTGCTCACACATTCTGCTGCCTATAGTTTAAAATCATTACTGGCACAAGGGTGCGTGCTTATAAAAACCAGCACTTAGGAGACTGCTGTGGGATGTTCTGTATGTTAAATGTGTTGCTCTGATTGGTTAATAAATAAAACACTGATTGGCCAGTAGCCAGGCAGGAAATATAGGCAGGACAAGCAGACAAGAGAATTCTGGGAACAGGAAGACTGAGGCAGAGAGACGCTGTGAGCGGCCACCATGACAAGCAGATGTTCAGATACTGGTAAGCCACAAGCCATGTGGCAACTTATAGACTAATAGAAATGGGTTAATTTAAGATATAAGAACTAGCCAGGCATTGGTGGTGCATGCCTTTAATCCCAGCACTTGGGAGGCAGAGGCAGGCTGATCTCTGTGAGTTCGAGGCCAGTCTGGTCTCCAAAGCGAGTTCCAGGAAAGGCGCAAAGCTACACAGAGAAACCCTGTCTTGAAACCGCCCCCCCCCCAAAAAAAAAAAAGACAAGGAAAGAAAGAAGAAACAACAGAGAGCAGAGAGAGCAGGACTCTGAGCGTCCGGTCTGTATTTCTTCCAGCCACTTCAGAAGGGTATTTGTTTTTCCAGTGTGAATCAAGAATGTGTTCCCTACTCACCAAAGAGATCATTGCCGGCTGCTGCAGCCTCCCATACCCCAAACAGAAAGGCTGAGTGTTGCGTGAGGAAACAACCAATGATTGCCATGGCTTTATAGAGATATATGTCTCATACCATATCATCCAGTGTATTCTTTCCCTGTTGTCGTGGGGCCACTCAGCAATGCCCACAGTCTACTTTTGAGGGATTTTTGTCCTGCCAAAAGAAGTGATATTCAGTGTCCATTAGCAGCGACTGCTACTCCACGGTAATGACTCTTTATCTGTTGCCATTGCGAGTTCTCTGTAAATGACAAGTGAGCCAGTATCGCTTTCCCAGAGGCATCCCCTGAGTACTCCTTCAGTGACAGGGGACAGTGGGAGAATAATGCTGTGCTCTTCCCAAAGTCTCCTCTCAGAAATCATTTCAAACATTGCAAAAACACCTGTTTGACCTTGACCCAGATTCCTCTAGGGTTAACATTTTACTACATTTTTTTTTTCTGTACATATTTCTGTGCATTGTTTTTCTGAACAATTTGGGAGGAATTTACAGACATAACGTCCTATTATCTCCTAATACGTTAATATGCACAGGAATATTTCCCCTCGTAATTACAATGCAAACATCAATACTATCTAATTCACAGACCACATTACATTTTTTCCTAGGTATCTCAAGAATATCTTTTATGGGTCCATGATTCAATCCAGGATCGCACAGTGCATTTAGCTGTAATGTCTCTCTCATCTCCTTTAATTTGGAAGTCTCTCAGCCTTCCCTTGTCCTGCATGTCTCTGGCATTTTCAAGGAGTTCAGCCATTTATTCTCTATACTTATGCCTCAGCTTGGGTTTGCCTGGTGTTTGCTGGTGACTGGTCTTAGGTCATACGTTTAGGGCAAGAACAACACAAAGTCTTGTTCTGTTCTTCTCATTAGATCCCTCCCGTCAGAGCTACATGCTGGTGATTTGTGCTGATGCTGTTGGATATGGGCGCTTAGCTAGGGTGATGATGTCTGCCAAGTTTCTCTTCAGAAAAGTTAATTAGTAAGCATTTTGCACTTATTAATAAGGAAATAATAATCACGATGTAAATATGCCGTTTCTTGACAAATGTTCCTCTACTGAGTTTTAATCTATTGAGGATTCTTGCCTTGATTAATTAATGGTAATGTTCTAATTCTATCATTTTCTAATTTCATCATTTTTTCTATGTTTATTAGCTGGCTTTATATTGTGAGGTATATTGTTCTTTCTTTTTAAATAAAACTTGTTTGCTTATATCACTTTGGACTCCTATTTTTATCAGGGAGTAATATGTTATTACTTATATTTATTTGATTCTGATTTCTTCTCAGTTGGGCTGATGGAACCTCTCCAGGTGGTCCCTGTATTTTTTTGATGTTACATTCCTGGACACTATTTCACTTTTCAACAAAACAAGATGCTGAGGCCTGTGTATTACTACAGATTTGGTGGCTTAAAAGAACAGAAATTTATTTTCAAATTTTTGTAACCGTGGCCACTGGGTTGAAGTTTAGATGTTGACAGGAGGATGTTCCCTACATGGGATCTGACAGAGAACCTGTTCTTGCTGGAGGGTAAGTGCAGCATCAGAAGATTGTGGTTGAACTGCTCTAATCTCCACCTCCAGGGCCA